ATATTCTTTTATTTTCTGAGCTAAAAAGCTTAGTTCTGACGGATATCCGCTGTTAAAGAGTCGAAGGTCATTTCCATACATTTTATGCTTACAATATTTAAGAACTTCCCCACGTCATTTACGTAAATTAAAAAATGTTAAGGGTTCTCCTCGCTAGAACTGTTCGCTGCACTAAGCCCTAGGGGGGTTCGAACGGTCAATTCACCTAAAACAACTACTTGCCGATCTAAAAGATAATTTCAGAAGCAAGTTATCTTGGATTTAGAGGTCTCCAATGTTTTCAATCTTTCTCGTATAATTTCGTGACCTACCGAGTATAATGCTTTACTGATATCTAAAAGTACACTATTAATAATATATTGTTATTTATTGTGGTTCTAGTGCCTTCAGCCACAGTCCTGTGCTTATACCTGATCGAAATACACTACTGTTCACTTTTGAGACGTTTACTATCTAACGGTGTATCATTTCATGTTGCGCTATTTCTAATACTTTGGAAATTGAAAGTGGAATGCTATTAGGTCTGTATTTGGAAGGATGTCTAGAAGATTTAGGCAAGGGCGGGCACGGTTTTACCCGATGGGGCAGTAGTGTTTCTGCCCTTAGGACCGAGAACACACTAAGTCACAGCTCTTCCGGGCAAGCGAGGGAATTCGATTGGTTGCGTGTTAGTTAGTATACCGGGCGCGTCAACTAATGAGGTCATTAGTCCCGTAAGTGTAATGCATGTATTTTCCTGAACTTCCTCCTTTGGATAGCGAGATCCGCCGCCCCCCCCTACCGTCGGCTAGCGGAGTTTCCCTTAACCAGGTATCTCAACCAGAGGCATCGCTCCAGCACCGGGACAAGCTTTAAACTCTCGACAGGTCTCTCCCGACTGGCATGTGTGGTAGTTCAGTGCATGTAGTGTGTGTGTGTGTAAGTACGGGGTGAGGATATGACAAGGAAGAGGAATGAAAGATCGCGCGCGGTCCGTGGCCCGTTTGTACTGCTCCGACATTCGCCTGGTGTTGTTCGGAGAAAACTACCGATCAGAGCAGCCGGTGCAGCCGGCCTCTAGAATTCTCCTCCCGACTGCGACTGAATTCGACATATCTGAAAAGCTAGTGACGAAAATCTTGCCGTCGGGACTCAAACCTAGGACCTCCCGGTGACAGGCATTGTGGTGACATCATGATGCACTGAGCAACCTCTCCCGGTGAGGGAATTCGAGGACAAAAACGTCCCTGGCAGCTTTGTAACTGAACAAGAGACGAAAGAAGCATTTTTCTTCCAGACTCGGTTAATCGACGCATATCGTAGGTTATGACAAGAACAAACAAAGAGCTCCTAAATATGCTTATTAAATTGAGTAAAGAGAAATTTGTAATTAAAATTTGTCGTAAATAGAATTAGTAAACTACATAACTTTTGTAAATGGCAAATTTTCATTGTGAGTTTATATTTAGAACAATAATTTGAGTAATATGTAGGAAATGACATTTCGTATAAATGTGATCAGAAACCACTTCTGTGGCTTGAAGAAGAAAACAAATATTTACAGCATATTTGAAGAATGCTGGAAAGCGAAAGTGCCATAAACCCTCAATAAATTGGTGGCCAAATAGAATCAATCTTTTAACTATTACACCTGGAGCCAATTAATTGGAATTGTAAATCTTTAGGTATTGAATAAGAAGTAACAAATTTACGAAATTCCACCTCCAGCGTTGTAAAACCTTGAAAACGAGAACTGGCTTCTGGTTTTAATGGCATCAGCTGGGGAGAGACAATAATTCATAGAATATATTACTACCGTTCACTTATTTTACAGTCCTTTCTTCGGCTTCTTGGGGTTGCGTGCAAAATCGATTTTAAACTTGTACTGTTTTTGCACTGGCCTATTGAATTAGAATTAGCTTTTAAAATATCTAACAGGTAATTCTGGAAACAAGATGAACGTGAAGGTTGACATAAAGATATTTTATTTTATTTCTTAATAGAGAAATTGGAAAAAACGACTGTTGTTTTTTACGGAGATACGTCGAGGGATTCGACAAGAAGAAACAAATGCCCGACAACAGCGTTCTTTAGACTTCATTTGTTCTTTGCTCGTAAATGTGACAAATGTTACTTGCTTAGGTACTTCACTAGCAACTTCTCTTTCTACCAGACAAAAGGAAAATCTGATGCACCACAAATACGTTTCTTGGAGAAGAGTAGATACGGAAAGACCCCATCGGAGCACTGATTCCAGTGGATAAGTGACGCGGTGAGGGCGTACAAAACGGTGTCACTACTGCTCGCAGTGAATTAACTCTCGATTTTCCAGGACATGTCCTTCTCCCAGACTTCAAGAACGGAGGAGGGCGAGCGCAGAGTGGCGACATTTTCAGCGCAAGAAGCTCAGCAAGAAAGCAGGTGGATTCCGGCCTCCCCTTACAAGCTCGATCCGCCTTCAATCCCGAGCTCGTTGCGGTGATCAACTTCGCTGGGAGAGGCGACACGCGCGCCGGACGATCGAGCTGTTAATCTCCAAACGGTAATTGACTGGATTAGGGGCGGAATTCATGGAGATGGGATGTTTCTTTTTTACGTCACGTGTAATCAAGTTGACTAGCGGTTAATTTAATTTTAAGGTCCATTAATTTCCAAGGATGCTATAAATTGCATTTTGCTTCATGAATCAACTTGATTTACAACTTTTCGAACTTTGTTGAATTTGAACATTATTTCTTTATTTCAACAGTTTAATTTTTCTTTCATGTTTTTCTTTATGTAGTATAATGCAGTACACAAAGATGTGCGATGCAAGACTTCACAAGACCAAAGAGATTAAATGTAGATGACATCTGGTAGCTGGTATCAACTACTATTTGTACCTCTGGTAATTACCAGTAGATGGCAGCAATATTGTTTGTAGGAGGAAGATTTCTTCTCTGGTTCTATCGACTTCCGTTCGGCCATTTTGCAGGGACGTTGCATTGTGGGTGATTGTGAGCGAAACTGAAATGTATATTCTTAAAAATTTGTTGGTAACCTCAAATTTAGTTCATTAAAAAAGTAGCATCTCCGTAACTTTGGTTATTTAGTTTCAATTATCCATCACAATGACCGAGGAGATTGAAGTGTGGGAAGATTTATCGGGAATACCAGCAGATCCCCCGAAAATGAGGGACAAGTGTAGTCGCTGCAAGTAAGTTACATTATAACATCACACAGTAGCAGTGCATGAGTTATCTATAATTTCTGCCATTTGCTCGTATAATACTTCTTTTGGTTGCAGACGCCCATCTGTAGTATGCTGGTGTCCTTTCCTTCCATCTACTCCTTTACAAATAAGGAGTAGAATTGTATTGCTGCAACATCCTGCAGAGGAGCGAAGATGTTTACGGACTGCCCCAATGTTATGTTTGAGTCTTGCGCCTGGATCTTGCCTTGTGTACAGAGGAAAGCGATTCCCATCTAATAGGTATAAATTCTTTTGTTATGTAGTACTCTTTGTTTTGTATTACAGCTGAGTTAAAATGTGTGTCAGCGTTATTTTATATTTATGCAATGTAGCATGAAGGCCCAAATTCTTATTGTGAACATATTTATGTGAAGAAAAATTATACCATTTTGCAATTAATGCCCATTACGTTTTCAGTGTTTAACCATGACTTGAATTCGTAAAGTTTCAATTGTAATGATAACTTGTGAACTGAGTTGATATCACCATTGGTGTTGATCAGCTATATGAAGGCTTAATCTTCTCTCTGAACAATTGGTTTTTTGTTGTTATTTTTCTCTCTTGTTTTGTATTACTTTTATTAGACATTTTCTTATTGATTATCTTGGCTGAAATGTAGTATACGGTACAACCTAAGGAAGTCGTTTAAACCGGCACTTCGTTCCAGCGTTAACTAGGCAGTTTGAATTCTGGGGACTTTCTTGAAAAGTGATGTCTTATAAAAGTGAATTGGTAATTATGCGTTGGATAGACTCAAGGATGTTTATAACAAATGTAAGGGTCAAAGGCCTGAGCCTTGCAGCGACTTGGATCCGGGGAGCAATGAGAGAAAATTTGCCTTTGAAAGTAAATTGGCATTACAATGTGGCGGGGACAAAGCATATGAAGGGCAAATCATGAAAATCACCTATCCGTAAGTTTTATTCATTTTTCTTAGAGTATGTACAGTAATTAGGGCTTAAGCCTTGCCGACACGCTTTTCTAAGGGTGTACCGTATACTAAATTTAAGATAATCTTTATTTTGCGAGTTAAAATTTCTGTGAAATTATATGTTCATCATAAATGACTTTGCTTCAGACACGATGGACTGGAAGGCATCTTGAAATCTGAAAATTCAATTCTCTTGTACCCATCGAAGGAAGCTGTTGAATTTCAGAATCTTCCTCCTCTTGGAAGTAATGATGATCCATATAATTTAGTCATAATTGATGGAACTTGGCCTCAAGCAAAAGGCCTATCTATCAATGCAAGTCCATGCTTCATCATTTAAAACAGGTGACTACTATTTCTGTAAATGAATAGAAAATATCCTCTGGCTTTTGTTGTGTTGTGTTTGTTGGTTGTTGTTGTTTTTTTTAATTATTTTTCACAATGAAATTAACACTTCTGTATATTAAAATGTTGAAATTTAAGGATAATAACCCATTATGCCAGTAGTAACATTTTCGATAATGCATTAATTGAAGTTGTAATGATGAGATCACTGTATACTGAGCTGATATCACCACTGGTGTTGATCAGCTGTATGGAGACTTAATCTTCTCTCTGAACAATGGATAATTTTTTAACAAATTATGTTTTTTTTACATAAATTCAGGTGTATTCAATACTGCTTTTAAGTATGCCTGTATAGCAATTTTTTTTGTGTTAACTTCCCTCTCAGAAATATGTTATACAGAGTTTTCTTTTAGGAAGTGACATTTTTATCCAGTGTATTAAAATAATTTTACTACAATGTATTAAATTTGCATTTTTTAATGTAATTATAGAAATATGTTTCTGCTTCAGGTGAAGTTGGTGAGTGCCGGCATTAGTGAATACGTGATTCGCACTCAGCCGACTGATGGTTGTCTGTCGACCCTGGAAGCCGCAGCTCAAGCATTAGCATCTCTTGAACAGAGAGTAGACATTATTAATGTTCTTTTGCAGCCTATGAAAGCTCTGTGTACATTCCAACTTGACCATGGGGCTGTTACCCATCAAAGCAAAGAATTCAGGATCAAAAATGAAACTTATCCAAAACAAATCGGAAAAAGACTGGAAAGGCTACTTCGGCAAGCAGAAGCAAGCAATGGCAATATTAGCTGACAGAGATAGACGATTCAAATTTGTTATTGTAATTAATTGTAAATATTTATGAAAATTTGTAAATAATGTTAAGTTTGTTTTTGTTTGTTGACTTGCTTGATCTCAATATCTAGATTACTACTACTACAGGTTGTTACTGGTTTTACTATTATATAATGGCACGTCTTCCCATAATGCTAAATATAAATGGCATCTGCAATCTGCTTTGCTGTTTCTTCATATAGAATAGTAGGATATTCATACTCATTCAAAGCCTTCAGTATCAAATGCATTTACAATTATATTACTAACCATTATGGAATATAAAAATATATTTTAAAATTTGCACGTAATTTATCCAGCTATCTACACACAAATTTTAAGTCTCAGAAGCCAACAAAGGTACTAATAATAGAAGTATAGACTAGTTAGATCAAGGTATTACCTTAATGAAACCAGCACAAATGAATCTGTGATTCTTAATTATTAAATAAATGTGGTTCCTTTTACCATGAAAATTCACAAAATGTTGAACATAGCTGAACCAACCTAGAAAAAATAAACTTCTGTATTCAGTTTATGGAAGAGTACTATTTTGATTGTGGAGAAAGTTTGAAGGTGGTTGTAAAGTTCTTCGAATGCAATTTTCCAGAACAGCAAAGTTTGAAAGGGGAAAATTCATGACAAAAGAAAAATTGCAAAATCAACATGCAAATAAGATTTGAGTTGTGTGTTCACAATAATGAAGATAGAGATATATTTGTAAAATTGTAAAATTTGATTTGTGTGGGAAATTTTCTTATTTAATTCGGTGAAATGCAGTGTTGTTTTAGTTCAGTTACAAGTTGTTTCCTGTATATTGAAATCATTTGTTGTTTTTATTTTCCCAATATATTATTATTATCCTTATTTTTACCACTTTCTCTTGTTTTGCCATTTCTGAATTTTTTTAACAAAATCTTTTTTAATCTCGTTGTTCACATTCCAGTTCACTCCTGTTTGAATTTCTATATCAATTCTACCCTTTTTTTTTTATAGAACTCAAGAATTTAAACCCCAAATATCTTTGGGAAATATAATTTTTTTTCCTTCTCCTTCTTCTAATTGTTGAAAGTAATAGATTTATGGTTTGCATGCATTAATGTGCATTTGATGAACGTTTGTTTCACAAAAATTAAATGTTGAAAATTGAAAGGGTTTAAAAAACCTACAAAATAGGTACTTAAATTCACAGAGAAGCATTATTCTTAAACTGAATGCAAATGTGACAGTCATACATTTCCAGCATACTTGATGTTCGAAGTTTGTTCACCAGGATATTTTTATCTCCTTATTTTATTGCATTATGGAAATCAAACCTTAAAGTGCATTTAAATTTTATTCAGGAGAAAGGTTGGTTAACCCATTAACATCTAGTGATCTGTTTATAGGTCAGTAGGTACATTCTTATTTTCCTGATAGGTGTTTGATTTAATTTATATTTTAAACACATTTTGGAAATACACAAGCAAGTTTTGGAATTCCTGCATTTAGGATGTCAAGCTAGCAACGGCTGCTGAAGCATTGTACACTCCTAACTAGGGTGTGTTCAGGACTTCCACCGATTTGAATCATCTTCTGAAAGTAGTAATTAGTTGCTATGTGATTAAGTTGGAGGGAGAGGCTGGTGTAAAGCAATGGTTGGTCTGCACCAAAGTTGCCAGGCATTTGCAGCTAAGGACTAAGGACTTTGCTACTTCTGGGAAAAAAAATGCTCATAATGGCTGCAGTTGGTGTCTTGGAGAACTCTAGTAATATAATTTAGCAACGTAGCAATATTTTACCCCCAAATGTTGCAAATGCAACCAGAGAGCTCCTACAATGACACTGCACCAAGGACATGACGATAAACAGTGAGCACTATGCACACAAAGTTGTTAGGCTTTAATGGATTAAAGTCATAATTAGAAGAGAATTAGACATATAAAGACACATAAATTAACTGGCTCACTACAAATGAATAATTGGGAAGTAAAGTAGATGGACAACTGCAAAGTTATTAGAAATAATCCATATTTACATTACACCAGATTGAAGTTTTATATTTATTTAAATTATTCTCTGTTCACCTGTAGACAACTTGAGTGACATTGACTTGTCCATTTGGAAGTAGTTGAAAATTGTATGTGTCAGCTTAAAGAATCAACCCACATTTTGAGTAATCTTCCTTTACCCACCAAAGAATTGGTATCGGTACACTGCTTTAGCTCTATGCAAATATAAATAAAATCATTGATTCAAATGTGCTTCTTGGTAGGAAAAATTAGAGCTACTTGTGCCTCACTGTAACTCATTGGACAAAAACAGAATGGGAAGCAAGTTAATAGCGTGAAGCAAAAGTTGTGACAATGAGAGAGAGTACAGATTTATTGGCAAAAGATATTTTTGAAGAAAGTGGCAATTGATAATCAAATTAGTGTACAATTCATTCAATTGTAGGCCTAATATATTATGGTGTTCACATTCCACAAAAATCTTGCTACATGCTGCTCCTGTCTGTGATAAAAGTTGTTCTGAGAAGTTATCTCTAAAGTATGTCTAATTGTATGCTTGTGTTAATAAAAAGAAGCAAATCACTATTCATGTTCTCATTGACCATAAAAAAACAAGTCATTTCCATCAGGATGCTTTATTCTGTAATATCAGAGCTGCTCAGATGTGTAAAAATTGTGTATGATCAACTAATGATCTCAAAGAAGCATTCTATATCTCAATTCAGCATGGTTTACATAATGAAATTTTTTATACTTAAGATAAATGTTGCAATATTTAATTTCATTCAATGCTTACAAATTGTAATTTGTACTGGCTAAAATAATAATTGTTTATTATTGAAGTACTTTTAAAAAATTGCTCATATTACAAGAGGCTTGGAAAAATCCTGCTAATACGTTTGACTTCCCCACATAATTGTCAATTTTCCTAAAGGGTAAAAGTTCTGATGTTGCAAGTTTACCAACTGGAAATTTCTAAAGTACACATTTACTTTTCCTTTCTCTTACACTTGGTGTAGAGAAAGTATTGTACTGCTACAAAAGTCCAGATTTTGATGGAAATGGATGATTTGAAGGGTTATGATCCTACTTTTTCCCTCTCAAACAGGACAAACACTTTCACCGGATATTTTCCAAAATAGATATTGCCTGATTGTTCTGAGAACTGTCAAGACCCAGCAAAATTTAAATGGATCCCTTAATTTTTGGGGATACTTAACATGAAGCTCCTAGGTCATTTTCAGAATTTTTTCAAAAATGGCTCCAAATATTTTCTATAAATTTTTGCTTAAGTATGGGAAAGTGTATAAAAATGACATCAATCCAATTTTTATTAAACCCCTTAACTTTTGAAAATTGTGATAGTTCAACATTTGTTGGATCCTGTCTCCTACAAAAATGCCATTAATTAGCATCACGTACATTTATTTTCAAAATCGAAGTAGTTTTGAATGAAATTGGTGCAATAAGAAAATACATTTTTTTTAAATTTTATGTTAATAGGGAGCATAATGAACTGAAACACATGACAAAATATTTTGATAACTTTTGATTTTAAAAAAGATTACATATTTTTATTCTTGTAATATCTTTGAGGTCATTAGCATTTATATTACAAGTGTATTGTATAATTTAAGGTATTTGCGAACACAAATGCTTCAAGTAATAATAAACTAGAGCCCAGAAGTTTGGCAAAATGTCTTTTTATTGTTGTTACGATTTTATGACTTTTAACATTCGGAATCACTTAAGTGTACTGCTGGAGTTGATTCAGTAAATTTTCATTTTGCCTCATTTGTGTCTTTTTTGCCTTTTTCTTTATTAATCTCCCCCCGGGCACCAATTTTTATCAAGGTGAAACCATACCTACAAGCCTGGACAATGGGAAGACACAATATTGTATTGTCTTTCTGTCAATGTGGAGGCTCCAGTATCAGGTTATGTTGAAAATATAAAAGGGAAAGGAAGATGATACTAGTGAAGATTTTAGGTAGCTTTCCTTCATGCTGACAGACTTGTATGCTCACGAGAAAGCTCCCTATATTTGTGTATGACATTTGGTGTCTGATCGCTTGAGGACAGGTGTCTGTACATGATATACCCTTCTCAGTTCCTTGTTCTATCTTCCCTTCTGGCAACTGCACAAGTGTGAAAACGAAATACCTATTTCTGTTTTCACTGATATCATTCAAAGATTCAAAAGGGAGTCCACAATTGTAATTTTGTAGGTACAGCATCGCGATTAACATTGTGAGATTGCAATTAACATTTTGTCATCTATGTATGAGATCTGTTTTTGTTTTTTTGTCATTCATGTATTTTAGAAATAGTAGCGACACCAATTCTGATCCTAGTGGGACTCTTGCTGTGACTACAACTAAATTAGATTTAATTTTTCTGTTTCCCAAAATATTTGAACACCTTGTGTGTGTGTATGTGTGTCTCCTCTCTCGATTCTGAGAATTAGACTCAAACATTTAACATTGCAAAGAGGCATTCCGTATCCCCTTAAGATTTACTTGAGACACTCATTTTATGTTGCAGCTTTAATATAAGCTTGAGACAGTATATTGTATTGAGAGCCATTCAACCTTTCTGGATATTAGAAACACTAATAGAGATCAGGATACTTCAACATTTGGCACATGAAAAATACAGTCAACTCCAGTACTTTTCTATTTTTCAAACATTGCTAATCTTGTGATTTTTAAAATTTATTGTTATTTATGTTAAACTTTTACTCATCTTTCAACTATTTATAGTTAAAATGACGAAAAGAGATTCTGGAACTCAAGAAAACGTACGCAGATAATCTTTTCCTCCTACGTCACGTACAGTTATTACAGATTTTTTGACTGAATAAATCTAAATCTAAATCCAGTGTTAGTGAACTCGGATATGGTGAACCCTCAGTTATAGTCAACTCATGTCCCTGGTCCCATTTCAGCATAAGATGATTTGGTTGTGATGAACCTAAACCTTCTATTTTAGTAGTTCATGGTTAACTGATTTGGCAGTTACAAATGAAAAGAAACTCATTTTCAATTTAGTGTAAAAATAGTCAATAGATTATATCAGCCTTTTAATTGTGTACTACTTTAAAAATATTTTTTTCAAGAATGCTCTACCTTGAGATAAGTTAAACTCCAAAGCATAAAACGCAATTTTCTACCAAATCTTGTTGATTTTATGAGGGAACACGTGGGACATTCTTTGTCACAACAGCGAACAAAATAACAAAGGCTTGGAAATCACGAAAATAATTATATTTTCTTATTCAGCATGATATAAAAATAAGAAATAAATAATTTTTAGGAACGTTATTTTTTATCTAAATATAATTCAATTTTGAAACGATTTTAATAATTCTTCAAGTCAATAATCACTTCAATTCTGAATTCAAAGTATAAAGATCTGACTCGTTAATGCTTACTAAGAAAGAAAGCAAAAATTATTGTGAGGCAATGTAAAGAGGAGGCTTGGGAAAGAATATGTTGTGGGATAGTATACAGTAAATCAAGGCAAGCACGGAGACCGGTAAGAAGAATAAGGGCACTGAATGTGAATAAAGTAAATTTACATATAATTACTTTATCGGAATGGAAGAATTTTTCGGGGATGCTGTTGGACAATAGGTTTCAGTAGAAAGAACCGAAGACAGTTAATAGAAACATAAATGAAGAAATGAAGGAGATTGAACCCATACTGGAGGAAGAAGTGCGGAAAGTTCTAAACTCTTCATTCAAAGTAAACGAAAACTCTAGGCCTTTTGGGACAGGCCCCCTTACCCCCCCAAACCCCGGGATCTGCCAGTGTGGTAATGCGTGCGAGGGTTGCCTTTTGTTTCGGGATTTGTCAACCCTGGTGTTGCAACCTGGCAACTGACAGCTCTATCGTAAAGTTGGTAGGTTATACGTACTCAGAACGTTTTGACATATGAGCGCTATTTGTGTTGTTTACGGTAACTTAAAAAATTCATCTTGGCCCAAAATGGAATTAAATCGTGAACATTTTCCGTGCGATTATTTTTTACAAACTTTCGATGTGAATGCAACTCAGTAACTTGCATGGATGAACTTATTCAATTTTTGGTGATGAAGGTCCATCAAGGGACAGTGTTTATCGTGGTTATGGTGAAATTCAATCGTGGTTGTAGTTCACTCCAAGGACGAATTTCGCGAAGGTCGTCCAACATTGCAGTTGGTACCGAAAATCAATTGATGTTGTGCGTGAAACTGAATTATTGCAAGACGTCAATGTGACTTATCGCTGAGATTTGAGACAACCTTTGGCATAGGTGGGACAGCAATACATTCAATATTGCATGAACATTTGAACTGTAAAAAAAAATTGTTTCGCGTTGGATCCCACACAATTTGTGAATCGCTCAAAAAAAGGTTCGTGTCGATTGGTCGAAAGAAAAGCTAAAAAAAAAATACGATCGCGGTGCTTCGAAACACGTCTATGACATCGTGACAGGTTATGAATCGTGGATTTACACGTATGAGCCCGAAAGTAAACATCAGTCGACTGTATGGGTGTTTCAAGATGAGCAAAATCCAACAAAAGTTGTTCACGCACGAAGCACTTTCAAACAGATGGTCGCCTGTTTTTTTTTTTTTGTTTTGTTTTTTTCGAAAAAACTAGACATATCGCAACCGTACCACTAGAACAACGCAGAATAGTAAATTCTGAGTGGTATACAACGATTTGTTTGCTGTCTTCCAAGAAATCAGGAAAACCAACCGCCAAAGACGGATCACTCTTCACCGCGACAATGCGAGCTCTCACATCGGCACAAACAACTGCATTTTTGAGCTCCCAAAACATTGATTTGATGAGTCATCCGCCATGTAGTCCTGACTTGGCACTGAATGACTTCTTTTTATTCACCTACGTAAAAAACAAACTCAACGTTTTTCGACACCTGAAGAAGCGATTGCTGCATTCAGAATGCATGTTTTTGAGATACCTCAATCAGAGTCGCGAAAGTGCTTCGACAATTGGTTCAAACGCATGCAAAAGTGTACAGATCTTCATGGGGAATATTTTGAACAACAATAAAGTGATTTTCGATGATTAATATTTGTTTTTGTTCTCTAATCCTGAAATATGAAAGGCAACCCTCGTACTTGGGTTCAATCTTGTGTAAGTCTGGAAATAGTGAAAAGGATATTGATGACCGCAATAAACAGGCAAGAGGAGCCATAAGAATATTGAATGGTCTGAAGGACTCGTCGCTCATCTTCTATTCTATTTACTCTGAAAAGTAAATTCAGTCGATTATTCAAAACGCATGGACATATCAGCAGTGATCTCAACTATATAAACCTCTACAGATACACAAGTAATCTCACTTGTGAGGGCTACCGCTGCGAGCAAACGAGATGGCTGACAAAACAAACGTTCGGGGCACGAGCTCGCCCGGTGTAAATGGGTAAAAATGTATAGAATTCAAATCAATTAAAACTAAGTTAAATAAAAGTGTATATTGAAACATTTTTCTTAGTGATGCTCAAGAACGTTATTTGCTACTTGCTTTGCCCTGTTCAATTATGTCCTTCCATTATTTTCTGTTGTTCACTTAAATTATTTTATTTCGAATATTTGACTACCCTGGTATATTTTGTAACATAGATTCTTACACACACACGCACGCTCATATTCTCACCAGCGCGTTCTGTCTGTAACTGCAAGCTGTTGCAGGGGGAAATATGTATCCACCGTTATAGACAGAGGACTTTCTTCCAGAACGACCAACTTTACATAAAGAATTCACCAAGTGTACACTTTGAATCAATAAATCTAATATAAAATGAAAACAAATTCTCTAGACATCATAAATAATGCATTAAATGCCGTCAATAATTGACTGAACTGTGTCCATTGAAATTCATTGCTTCAAATTATGTAATGTGCAATTTAAAATCCATACACACTGTATTAGGGAAATTCATAAAAACCCGTTGCAGAGAATCAGACGAACAACGAATATTATTCCCCTGAGACTCCCTCCATCGCCGCGCAGCGCTAGAGCGCTACCTGTATGATTGTCCAACCAAAAGGTCCTATGTTGCCCGCGTTGAATCGAAGGGTCAAAGAGTAAACGCAGTAAAACATCCAAGAGCGTGGTGCAATACCTGGCAAGGCACTAGATACTGGTGAGAGCGCCAGTTAGAAAAATATTTATTATTTCTGTAGGTAGTTTTATACAACCTGGGGTCAGAACACTACAATTTACATATTACAATTAGGAATATTAATATAATGTAATTTTATATTAGTTTAAGACAATAATTATATAACAAAGGCAATAATAATACTACCATTAACTCTACATTTTTGTCCTGCAAGGATATTTTAATTAATAAAAACACGACTTTTTAAATACACTGCACTCCACTTCACAGAGAGAGAGAGAGAGAGAGAGAGAGAGAGAGAGAGAGAGAGAGAGAGAGAGAGAGTTTATGTGATTTACTTAGTGTGAAAATTACTTTTAACAAACATGCCACCCTAAGCCGGCCCCAGTTTCGATTCCCGGTGAGGCAAGATTATAGTGTGCGTTTTCCTTGCAATGTCCCAGTACATGTTGTTGGGTGACTATGCCAAAATTCCTTGTCAGGTTGAGAAGACCGGAATTCGGCTTGGGGATGTCTACGTGCTAACCACACGTTCCCCCTTACCCCATAGCCGCGAGGCAGGGACGACGCCGGGAGGCCTGAGCCCGTTCACGCTGTCGCGCCAAGTACTTACATACATACGTGAGCTACTAGCTCGGGTGAAACCTGGAATGATATTCTACGCCATTAAACAATGTTTTGTTTTTTATATTTTCAGGAGAGTGAATAGGTAGATATTGTCTACCTTTTCTTCTGCTGCATCCAACCCAATTTTTGGCGTGTATCCTTGCTGCTCGAAATTGTAAGATATGCCTCAATGATGTTGATTCCTGTGGCTTGTATATTTTCTGCATAAATTAATTCAGTTGTAGATATTAAATTATTTCATGCACTTTTTTAGCCACCAAAAAATTGTAGGGTAATAACACTAAGAGGTGAAATTTAGATATGCCGCACCATCCCACAGAGACTCGGGTAGATGTGACAGTAGCAGAGAAAATAGACCAAGACCACTATGTAAATTATAATATTATGCTCTGGTTTTCACTTTCTTATAATTGTCACATAATTCAAAACACAAGGAATTGGGTTTACGAGATATTTCCTGTGAGCGGAATACTGATTTAAATGCCCGCGTCTCTTACCATTATTGGTCATACTGCTCTCTACTTATATGGTAAATGTCAGTGATTGGTCAACGGTGGTCCATGCATCTGTCATATCTCTTTCGCTGTAATGTTTACTTCACAGGAAGGGTGTAGTTTTGTATTATCATGTGTATATGAGGACTGGTGGAAATTTGAGTATTCATTATTTATTTATTGTGAAAAGTGAGTTATGCTGTGAACGTTTTCCCAGTAATATCGTTGTGTTATACGTTCGTTATGGTACTACTGGTTTGTGCAGTTTTTAGAAAAAATAATTTTAAGGTTAAGGTCGAATTTTTTAGTGATACTGTCACATAATTATTAGAGGATGTCAAAAACGGCGACGATCCAAATACTACGTTATTAAAAAAAACGCCATGTAAGATACCTCATGCATTATTTGGACAATTACTACCTGCAAACTTTCTTTCACATGACCCCACAAGGTTGACAATAGCTTTTTTTACAAATAACGGAATGGACATTTTTAGACTCAATTGGTTTCCTTTGGAAAATAAGAAGAAAAAAGAAATGGTGGAGTGGTATACAGACTTCAGGTGTTACCAGATGACGGAGGTATGTGATTGCATGTTTGTGTTGTGAAATACATGCTGATGACTTACTTCTCTTAAATATCCTTTTTTTTTGTTTTTCAGAAAGCAAGGGCCAATGGAAACATTGTGGGTTTCAAGGTTCTAGTACATTAATATTTCCAGAGAACGAGCCCAGATGCTCCAAACAATATGCTTGCAGTCATATTGCCATGACTTACACAGGACTAGCAATTTTGTTAATGTTAGGAGATGATTTATCCCGTGTACATAGAGCTGCAGTGATTGAAGGTGTAAGAGCTCTTCAACAAGAGGATGGAAGGTAAACATCAGTGAACTTATTACCTTTACAGTATCAAAATATATAGCATTAAGTTAGTGTACAGATATTATTATTATGCTATTTATTTATTGTTCATTTTTTGTGTATAGTTTCTGCTCAACACTGTCTGGAAGTGAGAATGATATGCGATTTGTATATTGTGCTGCATGTATATGTTACATATTAAATGACTGGTCCGGAATGGATATTGAAAAGACTGTACAGTTTATTAAGAAAAGTATTGTAAGTTCTTTAACCAATGAATATATCATTTTTCTGCTTATTTTGTATGATCTTGAAACTACTTCTTTAGCAAAGGTTTTAAACTCTTGTTTCAGTCTTACGATTGTGGTATAGGACAAGGACCTGAAAACGAATCACATGGAGGTTCAACTTTTTGTGCAGTTGCTGCTCTATCATTAATGGGTTGTTTAGAAAGTGCATTGACAGAGAAACAGGTATGGTGACAGGTAGAATATTTTTTGATCTATGGTTGTTTGTGTGTTTCAACATGTGACCACTTAAAAATATACATATCTCCCCCTTCTTATCTTTTATATTACTGAAACTATTTGATAACATAAACACTAAATCAAGTGGTTATTACAAATGACAAATATTGTGTTTATTTCAGTTAAGATACATTATGGGTGACATTATTAACAAAAAATAATTTTATTTTTATAAAATATAAGTAAATTAAGACAAAAAGGGAAACATTTGCAAACAAAACAGAAAAAATTTTAAAAAAGCTTGCAAATTAGAAAGTAACATTCTGAATGACAATTAAGTATAAGGTAACTTTTGATTAAAATTATTTTGATAGAATGTGTAATCATACAGAATGCCAAGGTTCATTCTAAATATAACTTAACGTAGCACTTATTAATTGGATCGCTGGTGAGGTAGATACCTTTTTATTATGATAAATAAATAAAGATATTGTCTGGTATCAATACTTTGATACCAGACAATAGCTTTATTTATTTATCATAGCACTTATTCTTATGTTAAGAAATATTTAAGTGTTATGATATGTATTTGTTTTTCTTACTCAAGTGTTAATTTCATTCTTAACTTAACAAACCAAAATTGAAATTGAAATCTTGGCAGCTATAGTATAATCAATCATAAGAAAAATTGTTTACTAATTAGTGAAATTTTAAAAGGGATTTTTGTGAAGAAATAGTGAGGAATGAGAGAGAAACAGTGAGGTGTTTGAAAAATGAGAGAAACTTCTTTTTAGAAGTAATTATAAAAAAGGTATCAGTGAAACTCGCACATGCCCAATTGGGAAAAGAATATGCGACTCCACATTGCATTTTGCCACTTATTAACAAATACCTGTATTCATTATCAAATTTTGGTTGATTGTATGATTTCATCAAGAATTATATTTTTTGCAGAATGTTAATGAGGATAAAATATATTTGTAACTATTGTTTTGATTTACATTGTAGTTGAAAGGTCTTCGTCGATGGGCAATAGCAAGACAGATAGATGGCTTCCAGGGTCGCCCCGATAAACAAGTAGATACATGTTATTCTTTTTGGGTTGGAGCTACTCTCAAGGTATTCTCTTCTTTGAGTTTTATGTGTAATAGAATTTAAATTCATTGAAAAGTAAATATATTCGTATTTTCTGCAGCTACTGGGAGTATATCACTTTGTTGATTATGAATCAAATAGAAATTATATTCTTTCAACTCAAGATGCAATTTCTGGTGGATTTTCTAAATGGTGGGACACTAGAGCTGATCCTCTTCACACTTGCTTAGGTATGATTTTATTTTTTTGTTTTAAGTTATTTGTGAAATTTGAAATACTAAAAAGTTAAGTGAAATATATTATGAGTTTTTATAAAAATCATAGTGGATTTTTCACATGTAAGTTAAAAATTGAATTTGTTTTGGTTACATGCAAAAGCTAGAAGTTGTCAATTGTTTATTGATCAATATTTGGTGGTAATCAGTGCCTTTCATTCTGAAACATTTCTGCAAATTATATGTAACATGAAATTTTAAAGTACAATAACTATTATTTCACGACTATTTCGTTTGTGTATTTTGTTTTCTTGTAAAGAAGAAAGAAAACAAAATACACAAATGTAATACAGACGATTTACAAGAAGGAAATATAGATACAAAATCGGCAAAATACAACAAAAATAAATGCATCAAAAGATATTTTCAAAACATTAATAAAAAATCAGACTGCATAACATTGTATCCAAACCAAGCGTATTGAATGGTAGTGAAACTTGGGTATTAAGGTAAAGAAGTGAGATAAAGGATTGAAGCAGCCCAAATGAGATACTTAAGAGGAATATTAAAGATCTCAAGGAAAGTTATGATAAGAAATGAACACATAAGAAAACTACTTAAAATAAAGAACATTGTCCAGAAAATAGAGAAGCACCATATAAAATGGCATAAAAACAAAAAAGAATGGAACCTTACAGATCTCAAAAAAAGCAATGAAATGCAAGCCAAAGTGAAGAAGAGAGTTAGGGAGACCGAATAAGAGGTGGATGTACCAGGAACGCCTCAATAACGATTGAGAAAATACTGGAAAGATGGTATAGGCCAAGTGGCCTAAACCTCAAAAGTGCGTGATGATGTATTTTGTTTATGTAATTATTAAATTTAATAAAGTTTATCAGAACCGAAATTCAAATATATTTTTCATTGTAATTTGCTTTAATGAATTGATAAAGCAATGAAACATTATTTTATTGTGGACAAATATTTGCACAAACATTTTTGAAATAAGTAATAGATCATAATTGTCAAAAAGAATACAAATAAAGCAACTGATATTAAAAAAAGTTAGGGTTAATAGGTGAAAGGTAGTGCAGCAGAAATCTTGCATTCTTTTCACTTCTTGGCTCTTCCTTTTTTGCATTAATGCTCATTAGTTTTCTAAGATTTTTATGCTTTCATTCACATTTTCTGTTCTTATCTTTTAATTTTGCATTGTATATACATACCGTGTGAAATAAAATTGAAAGTGGAAGTGTAATAGAATTAGTTTCTATCTCCTCAAATAAATGGAATGTGCATTGTAAAAAATGTAGAGTGAGGTTGGCAATGCTTATTATTTTCATTTGAAAGTTCAGACCAAGTGAAAGAAGCTTCTGCACAGCACAAGAAATTTCTTCTCAAGAAAAGGATAAAGGACATGGAAGTCGTAATGTCTGAATGAAGGGGCTTTCAGACTGTTAGGTAACAATGACTGCTTTTTCATCACCTGTTCTTTTGAATTGAATACTTCTGTTTATTCTATTAATGACTAGGTGTAATAATCATACTAGCTTTTGCATTCATTTTAGGAAAGAAATTTCAAGCTCTAAGCCACTTAAGAAACATTGCAAGGTATTTGTACAGACTACGGTTGATGAAATTGTTTTGTAGATCACACATATTTTGTAATTAATTATTATAATAATAATGGGCACACAGAACCTGCAATGCATTTTACCATCATGAATAACTCAGAAATGATGTATATGAAGACTTTAAAATTCAGGTTCTCATATTTAAGAGGACATGAGAATATTTTTATGCCCTAATGTACAGAATGAGACCTTTTTGAATGTTTTATTATATCTTTGGAAGATTCAACTCTCAGCATGAGTCTCTAGAAACAGTGGATGTTGAGTTCCAGTGTGAATCTTCTTTCACTTTCCAAATAGTGATTTAAAAAGTGCTATTTGTTGGGAAAAATCTTTTGGACCCTTCTATTATATTTTGGGGTTATACAATAGCTGGACTTGTCATTGCACTATCTGCCTGAGTAACATTTACAAATGAATTCAATATTTTATTTAGTTTGAGTTAAGGACAATCAGAATGAATTGTGGATGACCAGTAATGTTAAATCATAACGTAACAAGTTTTTGTTCGTTTGGAATGTTTATTTTTGTGTGTTATATGATATCTTCATTAAGAGTAACCTTAACATAAACATTATTTGGATTATTTGGACAATACGTGCATAAGAATTTAAAAAGAAAATTGTCTCCTTTCCCATATATTTTTGGTTTTAAATGTTTTAAAACAATATCTTAATTAATTTAGGTGGTTGATTTTTGTTTTTCAAGGATTAGGAGGGTTGAGCCTAATGAGTGAGAAAGATTTACTGGCTATTCATCCTGCTCTCAACATCACTATGCGTGCATACAAGCACCTTGAAGACATTCAACAACACTGGGAATGCAAGTAAAAAACTCAATTTGTGATGTAATTTATTAATCATCTGGTCACACCATCAATTTTTCAGATTTAGGAATTTATAATTTATAATATGCTTTTGCAGTCTAAAGCAGAAATGTTGCTATAGCATGAGTTTTATGGTGTTGGTAACTTTTTAAAATTATAGTGTTGTTCAAAATTATGTATCATAACAGAGACTTTTATTACAAAAGATATGGTATTGTGAAAGATATAGATGGAATGTTTTCATGTTAAGTGAATCAGAAAAATCAATGTTATATACGTAAAAGATAAAATTCATTGTGTTGATGTGAAATGTAAATTTTTTTGTACACTTTAGTTACCTTTGTTACATGATTATAATATGTTACAACCCTCTTAATGTATAGTAGTGTATTTTAAGGAACTGTTTTTTGAACAATAATTGTAATGTAGGAAAAGTAGCTACAGAAGGGAAACTTAATGTATTATTTCCATTTATTATCAGAAGGGCCCGGAAGTTAATGCTCTATCAAAAGAAGAAATATACCTACAGATATGCACTAAAAGTTTTTAATTATGTCGCCAATCTAATGAAATCTTCAATGTGAAGAAAACAATCTTCAATATATAACTTCAAATTTTTAAAAATGTACAACAATTTTTTTTAATTTAATACAATCAGTTTTGTTGAAATGAAAATTTTTTGGGCAAGATCAGAAAGAAATAATAATAATAATAATAATAATAATAATAATAATAATAATAATAATTAGAATAATAATAATACAGTTTTAAAATAAGAATTTAGAAACAAATAAAGCCAATGAAATATAATTCTTAACAGACTGCAAATATCATCCATATCTTAATTAAGGTAAAACAGGCTAGCAGGGTCTTGTAGCAGCAGAAAAATTGTTTCATGATGCAAGACATAGTAGGGTAATATTTAAAATGGTTTGTATCTTCTGGTCAAATCATGCTCAATGCTGTTCAGTCAATAACTATTGTCTTCTTTATTTCTGCTTTATTATTTTTTTTTAAGTTGATTAACAAAGACTTTCTTATAAGTGTTAGTTCCAGTTATTTTCATTTGCTTTCTACATGGATCCTTAGCTGCTTTCATAGTATTCTCTACTTCTACAAAACCAACATTTTTTTAAAGTTATCTCTTATTAAGAACAATTATCAAATACTGATCACATCATATTTAAAGGAGTATTCCCATTATGAATGTTCATTTTCTTTTAAGCTATTAATTTTTTTTTATTGTTTCAAAAAATATTTGTTCCAAATGCAAATCCTCCTCCCACCCTACTTTCTGGTTCTTTCTTTTAATACATTTTGCCTCTATCAGAGTGATGTTTGGTGTTAATGATCCAAAATTGGAAGGAAGATAATCCAAATTTTCTTTCATTTAACAAGTTTTTATTTGTACTTTCATTACTTGAATAGAGACACTGCTCCCAGGTTTCAGTTGGTCTTCCATTTGAATAACAGTTAAGACTTGTCTGTCTAAAAATAGCATCCATTTTGTTAGAACTGGTTTTGTTTGAAGAGGTATGTAAGACGCAACTTCTCTGATAATATGATATCTTAGTGGTAACTTGAGAAAAATGTCTTTCTTATTTGAAATGAATCAGTCAATTTCTGGGTATTTTGAGGCAACTTTTTGAACACTATCAAGTGCATTTGAGAGACATGTGAAACACACCATTGTCAGAGAGAACCCCTTTGGCCCAACTATATAGGGGACAACATCTGTGACAAAAATCAAAATTATGCAATGTTCAATGCCTTCTTTATTAACTAAATATACTTGTCCTGCTTCATTGGAGTCTAGAACACCCATTATCAGGATTACAATGAATTGACTATATTAAATAATTAATTTGACAATAGAAATCCAAATATTTTCATTCTTTTCAGTATTCTGAATGTTAGTGATGGATTGAATATAAAAGATATTGACATAAGTTTTTCTAAGCTTCAGTTTACCGGGAATGCCATAGTCATAATATATATTTTTAAGTTTTAAAATTTAGTATTGCAGAATATCCACAGAGAATTTTGGTTGCAACCAGTGCCTCGCATAGGTCTTAAGCCTCGTCACAGTTTGTTGTTTGACATGTAACTTACAGTTAATAAGAGCATAATTTGAAGTTCTTATTCTTTATTCCCACATACTACTTGAATACTTGTATGGAATACTTGTTTCCATATGTTGAGTCGTCAAGAACTTTTTAATTCCCTATTACAATCTCACATATATACAAAAGAGCACATGATCATCTGTTGAGAACATGTCATTTTGAAATTCCGAACCTCCAAAATGAAAGCACAACACCAAATGTTTTTGTCTTATCCAATTGTATTTATATGGTGTTTACTTACATGTTTGAAGTATATTAATGATTCATAATTACATGAGATACAAAGTTTCTTACAATAAATAAAATGACTCTGTATGATATCTGATCTAATAAAGGATACTGCCAAAGTCAGTATAAGACCATAAATCATGTAGGCGTACAGTTAGAAAGTATGTAAAAATGTTGGAAAAGCAATTGGATATGATAGAACGTTGTGTATGACATGTGGCTAAAAGTTCATATATGTGCTAGTTAGTAATTATTCACTTGTTCTATTGCACTTGTTAATAATCAACTAATTTGCACATAATGATCCTTTGCTACTTGTAAGATAATTTACCATTTTTAAAGTACTGTAGGGAGAAAACTCTACTACAACAACTTTCTCAGTTCTGACTGCAGCCAGTCAAGCATACAAGTGTCTGACAGAGACTATCGCTTTGCTTTGCTTTGGCACTAACAAGAGAACATAGTTGAAAAATATGAACTAATATGACTGAAATTTCATGAAGATTTTTCCTCCCTCCCTTGGCCTGCACATCTTCTTTGCAATGCAAGCCTTGAACTTGTTTATTCACTGCATTGACCTTTGCAATCAGATGTGGATGTATGAAGATAAATTAAAAAAGGCAGACTGTCATGGCACATTCCAAAGTGAAGTTTTGAAATGTATCAAGAATATTCAAAGTACATTTTTATTTTTAATGAAACAGAGATAAGTGTAATAATAAAAATTGTGGAAGAAAAATGTCACCCGAAGGCAAAAATTTAATAATGTGAACAATACTTTAAATGTAAAGGAAATATGATTGCGAAATGAACTAAATATTTAATACTATATTCTATAAAACCAGCGGTTTTCTGTTTTTTCATTGTAACTTATTACCATTTCATTATTAGCATATTATAGAACTCATGATTAAAAATTAGATTTTCCATGAACTTCCGGGCCCTAATTTCCCTTTCTTCTTTGATTTTTTTCTCGAGCATTGTTAAAGAATGCTTATTTGTGACCTTCATTGTAACTTATATTGGATGTAATAAAACTTGAGATATCATTCTTCAAGATCAAGAATCTTTGAATATATTGAAACTCAAAAGGAAAGTTGATAAATAGACAAATGATGAAAATAATCTTTTTGTGTTAGTAAAGTGTCAAGATTTTAATTGCATTCCTGATATTGCATTTCTATTGTTTCCAACTTTCTTGTAAAGAAACTTGCCAGAATTCAGAGTCAATTACTACAAGAAATGTAAACAAAGTATAGGTACTACAAGTAGTTGTATTGGTGGTGGAGGTGACAAGACGTGCCAGGTTAGGAGAGTTCAAGTGAATCGGGAAGACATCAATGTAGAAAAATGACTATTAAGATTAATTTATGTCTTAATGTATTTTGCAATGGTAAAATACCTTTCTCCTCTCAGCTATGCCTATCACCAAAGGGCCTCCTTGGAAGAAGAGTGCAACTGAGTGCATGTTATTGTAAAGAATATGTCAATTAGAGGTAAACTAAAGAGTAGAAATGTGTGATTGATGGATCATTGTTACATATCCCACTTCCTAAGAGGTGTTCTAATTATACTGCATTTTATTGAAAAAATGTTGCCATCACAAATGATGCAGCTACATAGTCAAAAAGACTTTTCTGAAATAATACATCATTTCATATCATCTGTAATTTCACTGCTTTCTCTATCGTGACTCATTCTGTTTAGTGACTACTTAATAGTGTTTCATTAAACAGCAGGCAAATAATTCAAAGGTAATTCAGATAAGAATATTGCCTAATTAAGCACCTGTACGAATAGTATTAAACAGTTTTCTGTGAAAAAATTAAGTAAGACTGTTAAAATAATGGTGCTAGCTTGATACCTTTATGCCAGTTATTTTGTCTTAAAGTAAAATTTATATAGGTAAAAATAATCAAAGTTTTAGTCCTATGGGTTTCTCTTGAATCCCAAGCAGTGAAGTGAAAATAAATTCTAAATTACTACTGTGTATTCTTATAAAGTTTTTTGAAATTTTGAATCACACAAATTATTTGATGAAAGACAAACTCAGCATGACCTTAGTGTGTTTTATGGCATTGTAGTATTTCATTTGAGCTCAGTTGGCACAATGTTGGCATGTAAGATTCTCTGAGCTTTTAGAATTCCGTCTTTACCTTTGGACCACTTCCCTTCTCATGATTAATTCGAGAGAAGATGTTGTTTATTTTAATATTTCTATTTTCAATGTTTTTATTATGCAGTGAATGTAATATGCTATAGGTTATGATTATAAATGTTCCTTGTCATGTATCAGTATTTGCAGATTTAAATTATCGGGATATATTTTGTTTCATAAGTGAATGTGACATTTTCACTGCCTCAAATATGCTTAGTTGTTACTGATTGTATTATAAATTTCTGAAAACATGTTTATGGGCCTCATATTTTATAATGTTTTATGTAAAGGAATCTTTTGGTTAAGAAGGTTATTAAACACCAATATATCAAACTGTTATTGTACTGTATGCCAGTCACAGAGAGTAATTTCCAGAGTGTCAGAATCAAGGTTGGACTTCTCTAGCAAATCAAGCAGCAGTGGATGATGTAGTTCTAACAGGTTTCCATCCTCAAGTATCACTAATCAGGGCAATCTGTGTCTTTTTTTGAAATGTACTGTATCTGGAGTAATTCCAAGCACACTGGTCTTCAAGAGGACCTGCATATTCTTCCTATTGAATTGAAGTGTGTAAAGCTGAAGCAGCAATAACATTACTAGTAAAAAGTACAGTTACTATGATATAGATAATTGTAAAGTGAACTAATGTATATTTTGTGAAATATGACAGAAGTCCATTCTTGAAACACGAGGTTCAAGTTGATATAAGCACAAATTATTTTGTTGTGTATTTGTATGTTGACAAATAATAATAAATCAGTGTATCACCAGAGTGGCAAATTATTTTTAGCATCATCATCATTATCTTCATCACTTGTCACTCACTCACGAAGGCCAGAGGAAGATAGATGTGAAAATGCCCCTTAATTGAAATCTCAGAATCAGTAACAGTTGTATGTGGATTTGATTTGATTTTATGTAATTTATTTCATCAAAAAACTCCAAAAAGCTTTATATGCCGTGTGAGGGAGAATGTTTTCTTGAGCTCAAGAATCACTACCCTCCTCTTTTACTATACAAAACTGTATGATGAATAAAAGTACAAAAAATGTGTAGTTAGAATATTTAAAACTACACATTTTTGCACCCTAATAATACCTGGGTGAGAACTTTGTCAAACAACTGTGATCTTCCTTTTACGAAATTTATTGTGTTTATTTTTGTCTTAAGTTTAAATGTTTAATTGGAGGAAATTTAAATAGGAACCTGTAGATTAATCATTTAAACAATTGGTCTTAATTATTTCAAAAGCGTATACATTTTGTTGGATTGTAAATAGCGTAAAGATGATGTTCCTTGAATTTATGTGTAGTAGTTATTTTTTGGATGGTGATAATCATATGTACATTAATGTTTGAATCATGAATGGGTCATTTGAACTGATGATACCTACTACTTGTACTTTTTAACTAAAGTGTACATTCAACATATTTGTTCAGAATATAACTTTGATATAAGTAGTTCAGAATACAACGTAAGTACGTATAACATAATATGTTATGGTAAATACATTTCTAGTAAAAGGTTTGTATTTTCGATTATTACAAATGTTCAATGTTTTTCTAATTTCTTTTGCATTCCAAAGACAGAAGTTTAGGGTTTTCTTCCTGATGTAATCATTTATGAGTAGCGATGAAGTCTTTAACTGACACCATGTGAAGATTTTCAAAATCCTAATAGTGTAAGTTCTGTTTATCAAAAAGAATTTTCGAAAAATGCTTAAAACCTGAAGCTCACTCCTTGAAGCTAGTGTGAACTGAGCATAGTAATCAGCTCCGTACCCCCATGGGCGAAAAGAATTATGAAGCGGACAACCGACACTCGGAGTGAAATATCAATTTTAGTCGAGGAGTCTTCTAAATCAACGAACACCTCTAAAGTTCAACGAAAAATACTCGTTGGACAAAACATCGAATTCAAAATGACACACGGCTAATGGTAGCTGAGAAGTTAAAAGAGAAATTCTAAGCATGGGCTCAACACATTAGATGTTATAAACGTAGAGTAGATTTCCGCGTACAGAATCGGTTGTTGGAAACAGAAGCGAAGAGATTCTATCGCAATCTGACTCAAAAACCGAATGGCAATGCTGTCCGCCTTCAAAAGATGACGTCGAAACATTATGAGCAGGAATCTGGGAAGAAAGCACATCCTACAACAAAGATGCATCTTAGCTACAATCTAAAGATCATGCTGCCCATGAACTTGTGGAAACAGTGGAACATGTTCACGAATTCTCAGAAGAGGACTTCTTGCAAGCTATTAGGAACATGGGAAACGGACATCCCCAGGGACTTATAATATCCAGAATTGTTAAATTAAGAAGTTAGTGTATTCTCATATAGCAAAGGTTGTTAATAAAATATTAGAAAACCCAAAGGAACACCCAGAATGGCGCACACGCGGCATCGCGTATTTTTTACCCAAAGCGGGAGACTGTTCTTGAGCGATGAACCACAGATCACTTGTCTGCCAGTAATGTACGATGTTATAACTGCAGCCATAGCTAACAAAATGTACGGACATCTAGAGAAGAACCATCTTTTGCTAGATGAACAGAAAGGGTGTCGTAAAGGTTCCTATGGCTGTAAGAATAGCTTGCTGCTAAGTAAAGTCATCTTCAATGTTGTAAGGAAACGAAAACGTAAGTTAAGCATGGCTTAGATTGACTACCAGAAGGCATTTGACAGTGTACCACATGATTGGAGGTTGAAGACTCTTGAGAACTGTCGATTTTATCCTAGACTTATTAAGTTTTTCCAGGCTAGTATGAAGTCGTGGAGCACCAGGTTACTGATACCCAACGGAAAGAAAGTAGTAGAAAGACGAAGTATTCAGGTTAAAAGGATTCCAAAGATATTCGCTATCCCCTCTGCTGTTGTGCGTTAGTCAGACTCCACTATCTAGGCTGCTTTCTCTCACTGACTTTTGTTACTAGATCCGTGGAGTTAAAAGACCAGTATCATATTTGTTTTACGTTGATGGTCTTAAAGTGTTTGCTAAGAATGAAGCGATTGTCTCCGAAATGCGGTCTGACGTCAATGATTTTAGCACTGACATCTTTATGAAGTTTGATCTTGACAAGTGTGCAAAAATCAATTTAAAGAGAGGCAAAATGATTTCAGAGAGCATTGAAGTCGATATACACATTGTGATTCAAGATATTGAGCCATCCCTTCAAATATCTGGGCATTGAAGAATGTGAGAACACCTCGAACGACACAACGGAAGAGAAAATTCACAGGGAATATTATAGAAGAGTAAGGTTCGTCTTGTAATCCGCTCTGAACCCCTAGAATAAAATACCCGCGAAAGGTAGTTTGGCGGTGCCTATATGTAATACTTGGCTGAACATCCTGGTCATTCAAAATCCTGGGAAGTGTAAGGCATTGCTTTATTGGGAAGAGCCCAGCTTTTGCGCAAAGTATTGTAGAGAAACAGACACCTCTCAGTCTTGCTCCTCAACTCAACAGGAAGCTGGTTGCAACCTGGAGTAGATTGTATATTCAACCGACTCATAACATCTTTAGTCATGAAGCAGAGGAATAATAATAATATTAACAACAAAACAATAATAATAATAATAATAATAATAATAGCTCGATCAGATAACCGATATTGCTAAGGCAGTAACACCGTAGCGGTCTCAGATCAGAAGATCGCGGGTTCGAGATCCGCCTCGAACACGGGTGTGTTTGTGTACGTGTGTATGTAGGTGCGGTCCTTTCACCCCTCACTATCATCATCATTTCATCTTCCATACGTCCAGAGCTAACACCGCTGGGGTGTAAAAATGGACTCTGCAGAAATGCTGATCCCCTTATAAAAAAATTCACGTGCATACACTCCTAGGAGAAAAAAATACGACTAGACTAAGAGAGTAGTGTTCACGAAGAAATATAGAAAAGTTGTTTAATGTAAACTGTAGAACCTACCTTGCCGTCATTACATTTTTCAGATAAATTTTGCGAAGGTATTTTAACTCCTTGGTGGGTGCAACTTTTGGTCCAAGATATGGAGCTTTTGAAAAGATTTAGATTGAGCGAGAAGCGAGTACGTTGGCTAGTGAGCTACCCGAGGAGCATGAATTACTTGATTGGACTATTTCTAAACGTGTTAGGATTATGTAAGATAATCCTTTGTTAAAAGTAAACTGACATGTTTATGCATTTGGGCCTTTAATGTGAGATATAGCATTAAATCTAGGTATCTTCCACATCATTCATTTCCATAACTACAATGCAAACAAAGTTACTTTAGAACTAAAATCTATGAAAATCGCACTTAGTAAAGACCAGTTTTCTCAAAATTAGCTAACGCCACAGAAAATGCCGTAGAAAATAATATTTGCAGCACGTACCATTTAAGACAATGATTTAGTTTACTGTTGTGTATATTGAAACGTTTCAATAAATTTACTGATATAATCCGCCCCCACGCTGTGCAATACATTTTGAAACATTTTAATATTCACCTGTTTTGATAGAGGCATTTAATATAGGCTGAGCTAGCCCTTCTACAAACGTTTCTTACTTTTGTTTGAAAGTATTTGAAACTTTTAAACAATTTAATTTTTATTATAATCTTTTGAATGCCCGGCTTCATAATTAAATGATTTAGTAGTACTTACATGGGTCAACGTCCCGTACCGCACGGAATGAGAAAACTTATTCTGTTAAATGTAAAGTAGTTGGTCTGTGGAGTGTAACTATTAAATGAATCAGCTTTCTTTTTTCAAAAACATATTTACATCGTTTATGGATTCAACATTAATATAATTAAAGTTTGTTATTTTCTTTACAAATTTTACTTAGTGCAAATACTTCTGTTGGCATACCATTAAATTGAAAGATTAATTTCTTTGATCTCCCAAGGCCTTTTCAATGTGTATTTGACCTCCTCTTTGCAAAGACGTATTAAATTTATTTGGTGCGACGTTTCGCGACGCTTCGGACTCTTGAAGATGTTGAAGCTACGACGACGTTCAAGTGAAGGTTTCCGAGAAGAGTCGTGAATTGCACCGGGGATATTTTGTTCTTATGTCTTGGTGTTAAAATTGTAAGTTGTTTCCATTGAATCCGAATATCGATTTTCAGAAACAGTAACAAACTTATTAAATAAACAAAGTTGATGTCCCTAAGCCTAATAACAATATAACACAAACTACAATACATCACTTCTCAAAAATCTCGGATGGACATCTCTATTTCGCCTTGTCTTCATAATCGTGTTGTCTAAACGTGCTTGCAATATGAATTATCTGATCTCCTAATAATTCTATCTCCCATATTTAAAAATGTCCACACGAGCGTCTCTTACCGAATGTAAATAGCTTCTCCAAGTGCTCGCTTGAGAATCCGAATAGCTTCTGCAAAAATGAAGGTCTTGATTGAAAATGTTACTTCCGTTTTCACTTGTCTTATATCCTTTTACATGTAATTTTGTCATTGGCTTTAATCCATCTGCTGGCGGTCGCTTATTCTGTTCTGACGCCTACACCGGCAATAAAATAAGTCGCCCTTTGTTGACCATTCTTTCCTCATTCCATCGCACGACGCTACCTAATTAAAAAAAAAAAAATTTTAAAATCGGCCACGTCTCAGATCATGACTTTACATCATGAATATCCAATGTCAATTATTTACCGTCTGTTTCATAACCCGAACACCCATGAGTCCTGTAACTCTTGTTGCAATATTTTTGTTTTCAATCCGTCATATTCAATATGGCTGCCATATGTTCCCCATACTGTGTACAACTTGGATATTGTAATTTCCGGGTACCAATACTATAAAATAAGCTATTATACGTCTAAATTTGCATCAAATTTCCCTTGAGAATATTTGGGGGAAAATGGCGTTGTTACAAAATTTACGTAGGTTTGTTTTTCACATTCTCTCAATTTTTCTGTCTCTTATGGAAAAATGGAAGTACAACTTTAATAATATCATCCAAACATGAAACCTGTCGTACTTGCGTATTTTTAGAGAAAATTAATGATTTAAAACCGGTTTTAGAGAAAATATATAGTTTTCTGAAAATGTGGAAAGGTGACACGCAAGTCGCGACGTGGTCCGCAGACCCTAACCAGAGCATTACTCCCCCTGTTCGCAGGCGGACCAAAACTACTCTGCTGAATCCTAGCCAGGGCGGGGAAAGTAACGAAAAGAATTTGTCTTTCCATTAAGTTATACACAGTGGTTTGGAAAAGCTCTGACCATGCCATCACACGGAAAGCCTTCAGAGGACTCGATCTCACGGCCTGTCGAAACGAGCTTGCCACTGCACTCGTCTCTGAGTGAACTCGGGTTACGGAATAGAACGGAAAGAACGGGTTACCGGATTAAGGAATAATGTAGTAATTATTTTCTTCGCTTGTCGAAATTGAAGAATTTAGTAGGCTTTCGTTTGCACTACACTGGGCTGCCATCTGGGCAGGTCAATAAAACTGAAGACAAATCTAGAGCAGAGGAGTCACCAGGTAATTGTGAGTGGAATTTCATTTCTTGGAGAATATTCGGTATTTTATATTGTCTTCATTT